TCTCCTTCTTTTTCTTTTCTCAAGATTTTCTTCTTCCCCACGCCCAAATCTGGCCTTATCTCCATCTCTCTCCCCCCCTTCTCTCTTCCCCCTTTTTTTGGTTTCTTCGCTTTCCTTTCTCGACCAGATCTGGCCATATGCTCTCTTCCCGCTCCACCTTCTTCTTCTTCTTCTCCTTCTCCTTCTTGTAGATTTGTGTTAGATCTGTGGCTGTGGGGGCAGGACAGCGGTGGTGGTGAGGCTGAGGCAACGATGGGCCGGCGATGACGCTGGTGCAGCGGTGGGGCAGCAGTGGGTCAGGGGTAGCAGTGGGGTGGTGGGGCGGTGGAGGGTAATTTGGACATTTTTATGATGTATTCAACCCTCACTGATGGGTGTATTTCACCCATGACCGGTCAGAGATCAGAGCCAGATAGTTGACCGGTCAAAAAGGTCAAACTTGAGAGAAAGGTCCATATCGGCGGCAAAGAGACGACGGATCGACCGCAAAGTTGACCGGTATACTTCGGATAGTATACCGGTCAACTTACTCAAGTCTGTGGAAACAATTTCCGAAGTCCATTTATCAACCCACGATGACCATCCGGGGTAGTATTTCAAGGTCGACGAGTGTCGGCAGGAAGAATCCAAAATGACTTGGACTGTAGTGGTTGGCATGGCTGAGATGCTGGAGGAATATTTCCAAGCCAGAACGTGACAAGGAGGGTAATCCCCCTCACAAGATGACAAGGTGGCTCAGGGACAGTCATCTCGCACCACATCAGCAACATGCCCCCACGTGGGTGCACGTGGTCCTGTCCCCCCAGCTTAGTATATATACCTCATGTAACTCTCGAGGAAGGGGATCCGAATTCATTCTATCTAAACTCTCTTGTAAAAGCACCCGTGCATTCTCCGTTATAATATAAATTGGGCTACAGGTGTTCCACCTAAAATCCTACCGGTCAATCTGCGTGTTTCTACCTTTCTTAGTTTGACCGGTCAAGTAATTTACACCATCACTCACTAAAAATGAGGAAAAGTCAAAGTAGGAAGCTTATTCCCGGACGGAGGGAGTATTAGACATTGACCAAAAAAATTAATTATATTTATCTTATAAAATGTTCAAAATTTTGTTTTATCTAATTAATATACCGTATAATTTTTATTTGCACATATGTCAAGTTTTGAAAGGGATTGACTATAAAAAATCAAAAGTTGACAAATATTCAAGGACGAAGCTAGTACAAGCACTACAAAAAACTGCTGAAATCGCGACGGAATTATTCCGTCGCTAAAGCTTGATTTCCGTAGGGAATCGGCCTAGCGACGGAAACAATGACGGTTTGTATTCCGTCGTTATTTTTTCGTTAGTAATAAGTTTAACGACGGATTATTTAATCCGTCGCTAAGCTACGACGGAATTCGCGACGGAATGAGGCGACGGAATTAACGACGGAAAATTTCTGTCGCTAAGATTAACGACGGTTTTAGCTACCGTTTCTGCATTTTGACCATACAGCGACGGAAATGATATTCCATCGCCAAATCCGTCGCCAATTTTACAGCACGAATACAGAAAGCTGCCATTTTTTCAATTTCACAGAACATCCATAGCAACCTACTCTAGCCCATGGAATCCACAGCATCAAACAACAACAAATACTAGAAATGAAGAATACCAAACAACCAAGAATATTCAAATCACCAAACTACAATTAAAATTCAAATAATATTTATAAAAATTCAACTTAACAATCAAATCTAACTCCACTTACATAACCATCAAACTTAAGTTTAATATAATGTTTTTCAATTCTAATAAAATATTCAACAAGTGCGTGCAAACCCCGTATCTCATCAGGTCATCTCTTCTATAATCGACAATAGTTCACGCACTTGGGAAGCTCTAATGTCGTCTAGCTCTTCTCTCAACCTCCGTATCTCATCATCTCGAGGGTCTCACATAGAGATGGTGCTAGCACGTCTTGCCTCACTTGCATGCATTCGTGGTAGGCTTCGTGCGAGATCTCCAACACCATGAACACGATTTTTGGCATCATGTC